CAGAATAATAACAGAATAATAACAGAATCAAGAACTGGGAAAAAGGAACACTTTTTTCTTCTTTTTTTCTCTCAGCAAAAGATTAAGATGGCCCTGAAATACTCTGAAATAAGAACTGTATAACTAACTGTAACTTGGAAGTGGACAAAAATGGGAATTTGAAGAACTACGTGAAATTATAAAAAATATGCATAGATCATTAATATCAAGCCTAAATAGAATTCTGAATCCAGAGAAGCAGATATTGCCAGATCCCTAAAAGTGATACTGCCATTCAATTGGGAGGAGGGGGGGCCTCGGAATTAAATCACTAGCTGTATCTGTAACAACTGAGTTTTACAACTTTACAACTGGTTTCCTGTCACCGGAAAACTGAAGGTCCCAGCATCTCTGAAGGGATGTTTGTGATGGCCATGTGAGATATCTTACTTTAATGTCTAACTAGAGATAGCCATGGGAATGTGTGTGTTATTCGACTCTCAGAGCAGAAGAGTTAAGGAAACATGTTCACACTTGTGTATTGGTCGGAATCTGCATTCGGACAAAGGGTCATTATCAGTTTAATCCCTCTTGTGTTGCCTAAAGGGTTTCAGATGCTGCTTTGCTTCTAATGGTTTTCCATCCTGCTTGATTAAAGGTTCCTTTCGAAATAATCAAGAGTCTTTACTTTCTTAAGTTAGGAGATGAGTCATTACACAAACTTTCTGCTACCAGTTCGCCAGAATTGGTCAGAACCAGTTGAATATCATCTATGTCTATAAGTAATATAGAATGTATGGATTTGCAAAGAGCACCCTCTATTGCAAGAATACATCAGGGTGTGTGTGCTAATATTGGATGGTTTGCCAAGATAAATCACTTCTTATGCTCATTGCTATGAGTTTGTGAAGGGAAGGAAAGGAAGACTGAAACATGTTAATTTACATTCTCTGAGAGGCCAAAATTAGGGTCTCTCTTCCTTGCCAAATCTTTCAGTTTCAGGAGCATACTGCAGCTAATCAGTGGTGGGTTTCACATTTTGTTATCACTGGTTCGCTGCACATATGCCCACTTGTTTTGCCTCTTCCACGCATGTGCTTTGTTTGTCCATGCGCTTTCTGCGCATCTGCCCAGTCTCAAAAACATGCCTAAATAGGACAGTATAGAACCAATTTCCTTTATCAGTTTGGGCGAACCAGTCTGAACCAGCTGAATACTTGGAGCTAACCTGGGTTGGGGGAAGCAGCTAACCTATCGCTCTGGAAATTCCCACTGAAATTTCCTTTCTTAGTTTCTCTCCAAGGCACTTTAATGTTCCATTCCAGAGGAGACCAGTGTGGGCTATTTTTGTGGAGTGACCAAGTGCTGGGAGGAGAAAGGCAATTGCATGATGATATTTTCTCTGTCAATCAAACCTTTATTATGATCACGAATCACAAGGTAGAATCATAATGCAATGGCATCATTCAAGTGAGTGGAGCTTTCTTTTTATTTTTAAAAAAAGTTGCATGGAAGCTATCAACAGGGATCCAGATTAAAGCATTTCCTTCTAATGGATGCCTTACAGAACTATTATTTGGCAGTTTTTCCTCCCATGTTCAACCAGTGCTTTCTTGTCTTTTATTTTCATTTAAGGAATTTATATCGCCGCCTCTTCACCCATGGTGACTCAAAGCAGCTTACAGAATATAAAACTACATTTAAAACAATAAAACTAAGAAAAGGAATCAAATAAATTAATATAGTATAATATAATAAAATCACCCCCACCCCAGTGACAGCAGATCACACGAGCCATTTAATGGGCTCCATCCCGCTCTGGGTTCCCCAGGCCCGCTAGCAGGACCAGGTCTTCAGCACCTTCTGGAAGAGTGTCAGAGGGGAGGCCGTTCTAATCTCTGGGGGGGATGATGTTCCAGAGAGAAGGAGCCACCACAGAGAAGGCTCTTCTTCTGTGTCCCACTAGGTATATCTCCCTCGGGGATGGGACATGCAACATTCCCTGCCTCCCAGCTCTGATGGGTTGCATAGATGTGACCAACAAGATACGGTACCTCAGATCATGTAGTCCCAAGACATTGAGGGCTTTAATTGTACCCAGCACCTTGAATTGCCCCCAGAAGCAAATCAGAAGCCAATGCAGCTCACGTTGGAGAGGTGATACATGTGCACATCGGAGTCTGTGCAAAACCCTGCGGGCCGCTGCATTTTACACCAACTGGAGCTTTTGGATGGTCTTCAAGGGCAGGCCCATGTAGAGCACATTGCAATAGTCAAGTGACTAGGGCATGAGTGACTGTGATAGAAAAAAGGATCTCCTTACTCCAGTGGTGAAATCTACATATTTTGCCACTGGTTCTATGGGCGTGGCTTGGTGGGAAGTGCTGGGTCAGACAAAGACTGGGGATTAACGGGAGGGGGAGGGGAAGAATGTTGGAACATCCTTTCATATCATAGGGGGATCGGGGAGCAGAATTGACAGATCTCAAATCTGCAGCTGATGAAAAATTCCAGGCGATGCTGTGGCTCTTCCAACCTTACCTGGATTTAGTGAAGAAAAGGGGGGATTTTGACACCTCCCCCCCAGGAGTTTCACTTCCCTTTCACTTTCCCACCCTTTTCTAGAATGGCAACTTTGCACCATCACTGCTGCTGCTCCTCACCTCTCCTGCTCCGTATGTGGAGCCGGGAGCCTTTTCTCCCCCAGCCTGACACCTGCAACTTCAGAGGGAGAGAACCTGCACGCTCGCTCTCTTTGAAAGCTTCAGCCAAAAGGAAAAATGCCAGGAGCAAGCTTGCACTTCTTTTCTCTTAAGGCTGAATGGGGAATCCTTTCCCCCCAACCCCTGCAAACAGACAAGCTGGGGAAGACCCCAAGGAGTGTGAAAATTCCAAAAGATGCCCTAATTAATTTACGAGCCTCTAGACAAAGTTCTAAAGAAGTCCAGTCATTTATTAGGAGCAACATTTTGACATTTTCTGCTGTTGAGCCAAATCTGATTTCTGGTTAATGGTGTCTGAACTTTACCCCCATGTCTCCCCCTCCCCTCACTCTGTGTCATAAATCACATTCACCGATGAAGTGCTGCAGCAGGCTGTAAACTCAGTCTGTGTCATAAATCACATTCACCAACGAGGTGCTGCAGCAGGTTGTAAACTTTCGCACCTCACACGCCTGCTGTAGAAATCTGAGATCCGACCCTGGTCGAAGATATGCATGGAATTCTCCCTCCCTTCAATGTCAACTTGATAATAGGCATGGAAACGCTGCCTACAAGTTGACAAGGGGGAGCTGAAGAGCTGGTGAATCAACCATGCCAAAGTTAAAAAAAAAAAAGGTTCTGACGATCACGCGACATTGTCACAGCTGATTGTCAGAACCTTTTTTTACTATTGGTTGGGGAGAACCAGTCCGAATTGGCAGCATTTCACCCCTGCCTCAGTCCCCTTTCAACCCATTCCCTTCTTTCATATATCACCAAAGGTCTCTTTCCTGACTCTACCTCAAACATCTCATACTTCTGCAAGTCCAACTTTGCCCTTGACTCTCACCTGTGATCAGGGTGTCTATCAGGGTGGTCGGAACACAGAAGATACCCACCAGCAGGTCACTAACGGCCAGATTGAGGATGAAGAAGTTGGTGACTGTCCTCATGCGCTGGTTCTTTGCTACCACGATGCAGACCAAAGAGTTTCCAGCTATGCAGGAGAGAAAGACAATGAGATACGCCAGGCTGAATAGACCTGCGACAGCTGGAGAATGTTGGTAGTAAGGAAGGAAGGTACTGTTGATATGGTCTCCTACATATGTCTCGTTGGCTGAATTTCCCTTCTGCCCAATATCCTTGGCATCCATCTTGCCTCACCTACAAAACAAATGAGCACTTCGTGATTGTGGTGTAGGAAATAAAATCCAGGTCCAGTTCCAAGCTGGGAATAAAATGGAGGCTGCATAGGAAAGAAAGTTTACTGATGAACAGAACCAACCACAGCATATGCCGCTTGATGAGTGCAAGGATTTTTAAACAGTTTACAGTATTTTGTAATGTTGTGGTTTGCTTTGTCTGCTTTTCTTATTTGATTGGTTGTGGGTTAATCCTATTACTGTATGTCCTAAAGATCATGCCCTGTCCTTCTTAATTCCATCAACTAGAGCTGAAGGTGTTTTATTTGTGAATAGATTGGCCTGGATTTCTTAATGGGCACAAAATATTCATTTCTAAAGACGTCAGGTATCTGCTGGAGGTTGTTGGGGGCTGCTTTCTCCCTTTATTAAGATTTTTCTCCATTTCCCTTTGGAGAAATGTAATATTCTGCTTCTTTTTAATATTCCCCAAAATATTTTATTCTTCTGTGGGTTGGGAGAGCTTTCCACAGTGGCTAAGCAATTATGTCCTTGGATATTCATTGCTGGAATTGTTTTGGAAGAAAGGAAAGTTCTCCTTCAGAGTTTCTAACTCGAAGCTCGTGTGTGGAATTTTTCATTTGACTTTCCAGATTTTCACCTTGCAGGTAGGAAACAGGTTATAAACTCTCTGGGGGGAAATATGAAGGTCAAAAAAGTTCTCCATGAAGAGGTTCTAATTGCCAATGCTTACAAAAATTCTACTTTGGGGATCAATAATGAAAACCTGACCTCTGAATCTAGTTGATGACTTCTGCAATTCTGGCAAAATTCACAGCAAATAACTCCATGTAGAGCAAGTTAAATAGAGTTGAACATTGTTGTGTTAATGCTTCATTCCCAGCAACACATTGTACATTTTCCCCCATTTCAGCATTAAATCCTGAGGTCCTTTATTTAGACTAGCTGAGAAGAATTTTTTTTTATTTGGTGACCTACTGTGCCCAATCATTTAATGGTGATTTTTCTTGATAGCAATTGATGCTTGCTCCAATATGCAGCCATTTCGATGCTTCTCAGAGCTTCCTTCTTAACACATGATCAAATTGGGGGGAGAGGAACAGGTAAAATTGCTGAAAATAATTTTTTCCCAACATGCTGGTACCACAATGACCTAAAAGTTATGATGTATTTCAAGGTTCCCCACCTTTTTGTCCTGGTGCATTATAAAATGGCTGCTGGGGAGCTTTCCTATTATAAAATGGCTGCCAGGGGCGAAAAGGACAAAATGGAAACCCCAAAGTGCTTTTTCATGAGGCAACTGGACTTTCTTGTTTTTTCTTTGAAAACGTTTCGCTTCTCACCCAAGAAGCTTCGTCAGCTCTGACTGGATCTTCTTGGATCAGCTGCAGCTTCTTGGATGAGAACAGGGTTTTAAGAAATAGATTTTTAAGAATGATTTTGTCATACAATAACTTCTTGAGAATGAAGGCAAATATATGTGTCCCTGGATAATATTGCTGTTGGGTTAGTCACCACTAGCGGTTTAATCTTCGGGGCTTCTGTTTGTTTTAACACTCAATATTCAGGAAACAGCTTCTATAAAATATTGTGCCTAGAAACAGCAATATCGGTCTGAATTTTGTATCCCATCACAGTTTTCTTGCAAAAACTGATAGATATTTCCAAAATACTCTATCACAATATGCCCAGATTTAAGGAAATTAATAAGAAGTGGAATCTTTGAGAGATCAAGAGAAAATGGTTAGAGGAGGAGAAAGGGAAAGAAGGGACAAATTAGTAGATTAAAGGGAATTGTATTAATATTGTTAATGGTATATAGTCAATTAAGATATAAGGAATTATGGTAACATTGTTAATTGTGCATAATTAATTAAGGTAAATGTTCTCTATGTAAAAACTGAATTGGAGGATGCATGTTGCTTATAGTAAAGTAGACCAACCAATGAAATATGAAATGATAATTTGGTTTACCTTTGAAGGGCCAATTAGCGATATTGTTTATGTTTTAGATGTTGGATAGCCATTTGTCTGAAATGGTATAGGGTTTCCTGTCTAGGCAGGGGGTTGGACTAGAAGACCTCCAAGGTCTCTTCCAACTCTGTTATTCTATTCTATTCTAATAAGAAGAAAATAAGTTGAAGATGAAAAATATGGAAAGAGAATAATATGGCTGAAATTGGAAATAGAACTATGATGTAAAATGGACTATATATGGGAGAGGATGTAAAAGAAGAGACATGGACAACACTCTGCTTATAAAATATGTCAACATTTGTAATAAAAAATAAAAACCTTGAATTTTAAAAAATGAAGTTTTAAGAAGGATCTAGTCTGTCGTACAAATAACTTCTAATGAATAAAGGCAAATATACATGTACAGGATAATATTGCAGTTTGGCTTAGTCACTAGGACCAGAGTTTTAATCTTCTGGACTCCTGGTTGTTTTAACACTCAATATTCAGGAAACAGCTTCCTATAGAACATTTTGTCTAGAAACATCAAGATCGCAATGAATTCTGTACCCTATCATAGTTTCCTTGTGAAAACTAATAGATACTTTCAAAATAATCAATCATAACATGCCCAGACTTAGCCCCCCCCTTCCCTTCTTCTTCTCTCTTAATTGGCACAACTTTGATTGTGCCAATTAAGAGAGGAGAAGGGGCAGCTAAGTTGAAGCTGACCCTCCCCCCCTCTCAATTTCAGTGTGCTTAGGGGAAAAAATGGAAAATATAATTACCCAGTTCTATTTCTTCACTCCTCCAATGAATTCAAACTGGTCGGTACAATATCTGCTTTTCTTACAAGATCTTTTAACAGCCTCTATATATATGAGAATGGCGGACAAAAAGAGAAAGAATACCCTTGTTGTTTCCAGAGCCACTGAAAGGTTTATCAATGAATTCGGAATGATTAAGTCTCCCATTGAATTCCCATTAAGTGCTCTAAATGGCACTTAATCATCCAAACTGGTTTTCCCATCACTGTATTAATCGGGCCAGGTAACATAATATGTCATTTCCATTAACAAAAATACACCATAGCCACAAGCTGTCCACATTGGCATCACAAAAGAGATCTCCTCTAACAAATATTCCTGAATAAGATTTAACTTTATTTCTTTTTAACTCTCTCGTATATCACAAACACATGCAAACACACACACACACACACACACACACACACACACACACACACACACACATCCTAAGTTTGCATCGTACTTAGATCTAGATACATACGTTTGCATGAGAAACATCTTCTTCGTTCAAAAGTGAGAGGGGAAAAATACACCCTTTAATATACACAATTCTTTTTAAAAGTAAATCCCCTGCGCCCTGCTTTGTTTTGAAACAGATGTGCCCAAGTTCAGAGTTAGAAGGTCTGAAGAAAAACTGAATGCCTGTTGCAGAGACAATTTGGTGGGAATTATATCAAAGACGAAGGGAGGGAGGAGCCAGAGAGAAACTGGTGGGTTTATGATAAATAGCTAGTGATTTACATCTGCATCTGTCCAGGAAGCCTACCCCTGCTTTAGAAATCACAGCGAACAATGTGTACAGATTCGGGAGAACAGAAGTGAACTTATGACGAAGATTTCTCCCCTGGGAATTGTGATTGTGAGGATTCTTAGGATAGCAAACCACTGGCTACCAAAGCATTTACAAAACGGTGCAAAAATGATTAAAGATCCTTATTTATAGTGCAACTCTAACTGGGTTACACAGCACAGGCAGGCTCTATTTCCAAGAAGGAAGTCTTTGAATACAGGTAGTTCTTGACTTACGACCACAATTGGGAGGATAATTTCCATGGCTAAGCAAGGCCATTGTTAAGTAGCACCTGGTTCTACCACCACTCTGCCAGGGTTGTTAAGGGATTGTTGGAAGAAATGTCCTTCTGGTTCGGCTCCAAGTGGGGGAAAAGACACTGGAGACATGGAGGCTGCTTGGAAAGATGGTTTTAATGGTGGACATGACCACATGGCTTGAGTCCTGAACAGAAAAGGTGATCACATTCTTCAATGTTGGTGGAGAAGAGAAGGGAAGGCAAGGCAAGGCAAGGAAGGAAGAGAAGCTGAATCCCTGGTTTTATGCCCCCTCTGGCCTTTGATCTTGATCTTGATCTTGA